ACGGCTAATTGTTTCTTCTGTTGAGCAAATGGGAGTGAGGGAGTTGATCACTTAATCTAATAAAGCTGGGTTGGGACTTAGTTTCAATTTCTCAAGATTCAATCCGTTTCAGGCTTATCCCTATTCATAGCATGTGGCCCTCCTGGACTTTTGATGGAGAGCTTCACAGGTCTCTCTATCCTTAGCTGTGAAAGACTTCAGAGATTTAGGTCTACCTCTCCTTCTCTCCAGAAGTTTCCCATTCAGCATCTAGACTCTGTTCCCATGCAGTTTCAAAATCTGGCAAATTCAGTAAAGAGAAATTGGTCTTGTGTTTGAGGCAGGTCCTTCCTCATTGAGAAGCCTTTGTTTTCTAAGCACTGTGAGACTGTGCAAAATTTCATTTTGTTTCTTAGATGAACTTCCAGACCAAGAATTCAGCAAACATCCTGTGGCGATAACTGTGTTCAAGACCCCTAGGTTCCAATTCGTTACTCTAGCACAATGTGCTACTACAAGCTTTTCTGCTTACTCTTTTCTCCATTAAAAGCTCTCTTTCTAGGCCAAGCTTGATCATTAGCCAGTGCCTCAAACTGGCCAATGTTGGGGGCGGGGGGGGGGGCAGTGGGGGAAGGGCATCTGCAGAGCCTCATCTTACATTGCTGGACTTGGAGCTCTGGCTTGGCATAACCTACTACATTTTACCTAGAAGTGAAAATATTCTGGGGCTTGGAAACTCAAAACTTTCTTTTCAAGCAATCGTCTTTCACATGCGCTTCAAAATAGTAGAGATGGCTTTTCTTTCTTGAAAAATTTCTTCTATATTGTCACTATGCTGAGGCTCTGGGTGTCAACATATAGTTTAATGTTTTCCAGCACGTTCATGGATGCAAAATCCATTAGTACATCATGAAACTGATTTAGTAGATTTTGACAGCGTGAAATAGTAAAGGTCAGAATGTATCCCACATAAAGAAGCATTATTTTATGATACTTCTGTGTGTATATATATGAGTGTGTATATGTGTTAGCAATGTGAAATCTACTTCTTCTTATGGTTTGCAACCCAAAATGTTTAAAAGCTACTGGACTTGAGTTTAAACAGAGGAAGAGTCAAGGGTCAGAAAAAGGAATGATAAGAAAAAAAAAATGTCCAAATCAAATATGAAAAACTTTTTAGAGCAGTTTGGCAGGAATTGACTAGGAGCTATTCTTCTGGTCATAGAGGGATCCCATGTGAGGTATGAGCCATAAGCATCAGAGAAACAAAGCTGTGATGCAGGGAGGGTTGGCTGAGAAGTGACTAAATTTGAATTGGTAAGAGCAAGCATCACAATTATTGACCCCATGTCACGGGCAGTCTAGAGGGAGAAGGGGATAAATGGTACGGGGATGGGGCAAAGATCTAATTCCAGTCACAGGACTGAAGAGACTGTGACTACAAAGAGTGCTGCTGTCCTCACCCAGACCTCCCTGCCATGGAGACCACCTGGTAGAGGGGAAAGAATGCAGTTCTTGGTTCTGAATCTACTAGCTTGGGCTTGCAGTTTCCTTGTGTCTAAACCAGGGAGGTAAGACCTTTGGTACAGAGTGATTGGTGGGTGTGCAAATCCTTCACTAATGAATGGTCAGTATCTGTCACATCGTAAAGGCCCCATGGAGTAGGAAGTCCTGGAGGAATACTGGGCTACAAGGGGACTTCAAAATCTTCATTAAAAAACTCCATTATCTTTTAGTTTTCCACAAACATGTTGGATCCCCTTCATGTAATGACCTGTCTGGCTCTTGACCCCAAAGTTCCCTGGTCTTCCAGGTTTGCCCAATGGGAGCCTGGATACCAGATCAGATCTTTTCTGAATCACAGACTCAGCAGGATTCTGGGCATAGAGGCACACCTACATTGCAGTGGATGAAGTACACTTGTGTGTGCCACCAAACTACAGGGCTGTCTAGTGGCTCTGACCTTTGCCTTGTTTCAGGAGCTAGTGCTTGGCCTAGTGGTTTGTGTTGGACATCAGAGCCTGAAACTTGGACCTGAACCCTGCTTGGGTTCTTGGCCAGGACTCTCGCCTTCTACCATGTTCCAAACATATCTGACCAGTCACACAGACCAGTACAATCATGCCTCAATACATACTCTTCTCTCTTCCTTTAAAAACAAACAAACAAAAAACTAGTTGGCATGGCATCCATCCTAATTTAGCGCCATCCATGTATGTCAGGATAGAACTGTGCTTTATAGGGTTCTCAGTGGCTGGTTATGTGTTTAGGTACACGAGAGCCTTTTAAACCACCCAGGCTTTCCTAACCAAAAGAATGAAAAAAACAAACAAATTGCTGTCAAGTTGATTCTGATGCCTGGCAACTGCATGTGTTACAGATGTGTGCTATAGGGTTTTCTTGTCTGTAATCTTTACAGAAGCAGATTGACAAGTGTAAAGAAAGAAAGAGACGAAGGAGAGAGTCTTGACTTCAACAGCAGGCAGGTTTATTGAGAGTAAACCTGGGAGGGGGTACTCTTAAGTCACCAAAGGAGACCAAGAGTCTGTTCCCTTACAGACTTGGATATTTAAAGCAGTGTGGTCTGGATACAGTTCTGGTGAGTTTACAATGGGTGTGGGTATGGAGATTTTCCTGAAACCTGGAATTACGGCGGGGTGTGTGTGTGTGTGTGTGTGTGTCTCCAGGTGTAAAAAAGACCGGAAGCTCAAGCAATTCAGTGCCAACTGGGGGTAGTTGCAATGCCATTCCATTCTGTTGATCAGGCACAGGGTCCTTCAACAAGTCTTTCTTCTGTGGTGCCCCTGGGTGTATTGGAACTGCTAACATTTAGCTTAGTAGTTATAACGAAATACTTTGCACCAACAAGGAATCTGTTAACCCGTTGCTGTCAAGTGGAGTCTAAATCCATATAAACACTATAAGATAGAGTAGAACTGCCCCAGAGGATTTCCAAGGAGTTCCAGTTTGGAACTGTAGGATAAGCACTGGACTGTTAACCACAAGGTCAAGTAGTTCAAACTTACCAGCTGCTCCTCAGAAACCCTGCCACTCCTTGGAAACCCTACACAGGGTTGATATGAGTCGGAACCGACTCAAGGGCACTTAACAACAACAACAGTCTTTATGGAAAGAGACAGCCACATCTTTTTCCCACAGTTAGGCGGCTAGGTTTGAACTGTGATGGTTATATAATAAGACAAGTGCTGACAAGAATGTGGAGAAACTAGAACCCTGGTACACTGCAGTTGGGAATGTAAAATGGTACAGCCACTATGGAAAACATAGACTTACTATGTTATTTTTGCTATGTGCCCTTGAGTCAGTTCCGACTCATAGTAATCCAGTATAGGGTTGCCCAGAAGCGGCTGGTAAGTTTGAAACACCAACCTTGTGGTTCAAGCCCACCTTTTGGTCTTGTGTTTATCCTACAGAGCCACACCAGGACTCCTAGAATTACTATGTTGTCAATGTTAAGTGATTTTGACTTGGGTCCGACTCATAGTGACCCTATATAGGGTTTCTAAGGAGCAGCTGGTGACCTTGAACTGCCAACCTTGCAGTTCAAACTGACCTTGCAGTCCAGTGAATTAATCTACAGAGCCACACTAGGACTCCAGAATGACTAAGTTTTGCTGTGAAGTGCCATCGAGTCGGTTCCGACCCATAGCGATCCTGTATAGGGTTTCCAAGGAGCAGCTGGTGACCTTGCATGCAGTTCAAACGGCTTTGCAGTCTGACGAATTAACACACAGTGCCACACCAGGAACAAGACTCTACTTCTAGGTATATACGCCAAATAATTGTTAAGTCAGTACTAAGATACTTGCACACCAGTGTTCACTGCATCGATACTTACAGTGGCCAAAAAGTGGAAATAAACCAAATATTCTCCCACAGATAAATGGATAAACAAAATGTGGTATAGTCATTCAATGGAATACTATGCAACCATAAAAAGCTCATCCTACAACTTGGATGAGCTTTGAAAACACTGAGCTAAGTGAAAGAACTCACAAAAGATGATATATTGTATAACTGTATTTATATGAAATGTCCAGAATAGGAAAATTCAAAGAAATAGAAAGATTAGCATTGTCCAGGGGCTGGAGGAGGGTAAATAGGAGTGAAAGCTTTGGGCATGAGGTTCATTTTTGCGAAGATGAAAATATTCCGGATTTAGATAGTGGTGCAAGGTGCAAAATTTTTTAACTATACGAAAAACCACTAAATTGCATTTGAATTATATCGCTTATTTTTTAATGGAAAAAAAAATGACTCGAGAGGGGAAGAGTTAGAGGGGCTAGAACAATCAAATGGAGCGCGTGCGTCGCCTTGTCCCCATCGTGTCCCCAAACCTAAGGAACTTTGGGCCATGGATGCATCAAGAGGATCTTTGGAAGCGAAGACGGGAGCAGGATCTTGAACGAAAGATGCTTAGGGACTTGAAGGGCGCACAGTTGAAGTGGTGGCCCTGGGTTGTCTAGGATTTGAAATGCAACAGTGGGCTCAGAAGTTGGCCAGGTCTTAGAGGAGATTTACAGGTTGAAGTGCGGATGCTTTTAAGGCAGTCTAGGCAAATTCAAATTCTGCGTCCACCTTAAAGCCAGCTCCGCGGTGCTGAGAGATGGACTTTGCTAAGTGCGCTGAGTCGTGGGGGAGGCGGCGGCGGCAGCCCTGGCCCAGACCCGCCGCCTGGCCCGCGTGTCCTGCCTGGCCTGAGGAACTAGGCGCGGGTAGCCCAGGCTTAGCGGAACGTGATTCCTGGGGGCTGAAGTGCCTGCTGGGGCGATGGGGGCGCGGACGCAGGCCCCCGCCTCCCCCCCGCGCGTGGCACATCGCTCTATTTTTAGCAGGCGCTGTTACAATATAAGGAATGTTCGGCGCGCTAGGCGCTCCCGGCGCGCGCGAGGTGCACGGTTGCTTTAAGGAGGCGCCGGGGCGGGGACCGGATCGAGCGGCCGGCGGGCTGTCGGTCCCGGAGCCGTCAATCCGGCCGCCGCGGAGCCCGGCAGGCGCTGCGCTGCCTCCTGGCGGGTGCGGCTATGGAGGAGGCGGCCTGAAGGTTGGAACCGAGCGGGGACTGGAGGGCGCGGTAAGTCGTCAGGATAGTTTTCGAGGGGAGGGGCCGGGCAGCGGTGTCCCCCACCCCGAGGGCGCTTTGTTCCTGGGCGGGAGGTGTGGTCTCCCCCTGGGGCTCGGCCGCAGGGGCACTGGCTGTGCGAGGTTTTTTGCCCGCACCTTCGGCTCCCACGTAACGGTGTGCGATCAAGAAATGGGCCGTGACAGAGAGCGCGGTGCGGAGGGCCTGTCCAACTCCCCAAAGAGAGCCTTTCACAGTAACCCAGCCTGGGGTTCCTTGTCTGCCCCAGCTGCCCAGTCCAGGACTTGGAGGGGAGATGGACAGCGGGACTGCAGGGGCTCGACTCTTCCCTCTTTTAAAATGGCGTTAACAGAGGCAGGGAACCGCCGGTGGAGTTGTCAAATTCGTCTGAATAATAAAAAGCTGTCTGCTTCAAAAACAACTCATTACTGCGCCTGGGCTAGGAGAGCAGAGGGTCTGGTTACAACCAGGAATCGGGTTCATTCATTGACTGACGCGGCGGGTGAACTTACCGTGTGCGGACAGGGAGTCAGTTCCTGCCCGGAGGTGAAGACAGGGACGCAAACCCAGCGACAGCCAGAGTGGTCAGTACTAGGGTAGGGGAAGCCCGGGGTTTGTAAGATTGCCTAGTATTCCGCACTCCAGTGTTGAGGTCAGGTAAGGCTTCCTGGAGGAGGTGATGTTTGGCATGAGCACAGGACAGCCATTTAGATTCAGTGGCTGAGTCTGGAGAGGTCGAGGAGGGCCAATTCAGAGCATTTTCTCCCGGAGTCGTAGGCCCCTGCTAGCAAGGAACCCCCCTTGGCTAGAATAGGTTTTGCACCTATTCTTAACACTCTGTCTTGGGACCTGACTTCTTGTTGTGACTGACAAGGTTAAAATTTTGTAGGGAATGAGTGACTTTCTTAGGAAGAAGGTCTGACTTAGAAGCCCCAAAAGTCCACTGTAATAGCAGTCAATCGAGCTTAACGTGACTTTGCTCATCAACTGACCAGACACTCTAGAAAGGTTTTATTATTATCCACATCTGGGACTAGAAAGGGTAAACAACTTGCCCAAGACCGTATCATGCTTTTGGCCATGTGGCTGCCCTGTCCCTGTTTGTGATGAACTTGAAACAACTCATGTTGTGTTTTACTCTGTTGACAGTCACTATCCAGTTGAAGTGTGGGGCAGTGAGCTGTTGGTTTTAATAACTGACATGTGTCAGGAATTTCACAGTGAACAAAGCACTTTCACTCAAACAGTTTCTCCTGCGTCTTGAGTAGAAACTTGAGCTGGCTAACATTTTGTAAACCTCCTAATTTCCTGTAAATTGCTTGTGCCTGCTGACTGGGGCTGAAGATATTTGGGGCCATGGTTTTCACCCTTGGGTTTTTTTCTCACTGCCTAGCAACAAGTTAGTCTCTCTGTCTGTGGTTTATGGTGTAGCTTGTCTGTCACAGTGGGAGACACAGGGCTTTGATATTCTGGGGTTTTTAAGGAGATAGATCTGTCAGATTTGAGGGGGCTGGGGGAAAGTGCTGAGTAACTAAGCGCTCTGGTGAAAACTGCCCCTTCTCCCTCCAGTGGCCTCTGCGTTTCCTTATGGAGAATGTGGGAGGGGCATTGAATGGGAGCCATTGAATGGTGAGGCAAATGACAGTTTTCTAGGGTGGCTAACTTTGGGTCCCCATAGTTTGTATTTTCCACCTCTCCTGGTTTCACCTACACAAGGCATTTTTGCAACAGGTATAATGTTACTATTTTATTGTCAGCTCAAACCACAGATAATTCATGGTTTCCATTGATCGGAGCTGCTTATAAAGCCGTCAGTCAGTTATCCTTAGAGTTCATTCCTGCAGCCAGGCTGAACTGCTGGCCTCTGATGAATTGAACTAGCTTTTAGAGTGGCTGGTCCTGACATCAGTTGGAACTACATGTTGACAAGCTTGCAGGAGCTCGTGAGTTCTCAGGGAAATATAGCTTCCGTTGTTATAGTTTATGTCTTGTATAATGACTGTGATCTGTTCTACCAAAGAAATGCCCCCAAACTGTGTGTGTCGCCCCCCAGGTGGTAGAAAACATGAACTTTAATAGCTTGCACAAACCATATCTGGTAGCGTAGTGGTTACGAATCGGGCTGTGAACCTTAAGGTCAGCGGTTCGAAACTACCAGCTGCTCCGCGGGAGAAAGATGAGGCTTTCTACTCCTGTAAAGATTTACACCCCTTGGAAACCCTGTACTGGGTCGCTATGGGTCAGAACCGACTCGATGGCACATAACAACAACAACAACACAAACCATATTCATTTGAATTAAATGGGAACACATTCTTGTGCAAAACTGGGATATGCTCAGGTGTCCAGGGAACTCCAAAGGCTCACACCTGCCAGGTTCAGGGCAGGCATCCAGTTGCCTTTGTTTGGGAATAAGGCAAAGAAAGGAGCTGGATAGGCTCCCTGTGTTCTGGGTCATTGGCAGGCCTGTCTTTTCTAGGGACTGAGCAGAGAATTCAAGCTTTGAGAAGAATTGTATTTGTGGACTTGGAGGCTCTGCCAAGTCTGATGGTCTTGGATGACATCACTGAGTCGCATGTTTTGAATCAGTGGGAATGCTTTTGGTTGCAAGTAACAAAACCCAAATAGCATTGGCTTAAGCAGAGCGTGGATGTCTCAAAGATGCTTTCAGTTTATGTGAGGTCTCTGATCATAGGGGTAGGATATCATTGCCATTACCAGCAAGTTCCTGCATGGGACAGCAGTCGAGAAGATTAAGGGGCTGGAGTTCAGAGCAATGACTTTTCTTGGGTCACAACCGCTTTACTATGCCAGCAAAAAGCCCAGGAAAAAAAAAATGGCTTTGGTGCACAAAGTTGGGCATATGATTTAGGGGACTCATGGATCTTTGAAAACTAATGTTGCCCTGGATCCCAGATTTACAATCCTGGGTCTAAAGGTACATTATTTCACTCACATTTATTGAGGACCTACAAAGTCGGCAGTTCAAACCTACCAGCCGCTGCCTGGGTCACTACTGTTGGAACTGACTTCACACAACAACAACAACAAAAAGGATGCCTGTTGTTGTTGGGCAGCCTGAGAGGGTCTTAACCTGCAACGTGGCAGCTATGGTGTCAGGTGTGAAAATACGATTGGCACGGTGGTCCCATTTCTCAGCCTGCGAGTGGAATTCTCTGCAGTCAGTCAGTGGGTTTATTCTGTGGAAATCTGCTCACAAAGAGGGCATTGCTGATGTGGCTGCTGCTTCTAGCTTCCCACAGCACAGGCCTTGTTGAGGTGAGGAGAAGGCCACACTGCACTCCTTTGCACTCACTGTGCTTCCCTGGTGCCGTATCTCTTGTCTTCTAGGTAGAATTCCTGCTGTGCCTGATGAAGGTAGTACATAGCCTGTTCCCAGACCCTCTACCCCCTCACCCCAGTGCCTCACTACCAAGCATGACCTTTTCCCTGGTAGCCAGATCCAGGCAGCTTTATGCATCCCTCTCTGTAGGGGTCATGAAGGAGCAGTGTGTATTTAGCTTCTCAATATTCCTATCATTATTCTTTAACATTCTTGGTGGCTTCACTAAGTGGGGCCTGCTGATGGCTGGCAGCCAAATGACAATGTGGTCATCACTAATTGCTGAGGTGACATTCTGGGTCTTAGAGGAGCATATTCTCTGTCTAGAATGCCTGGCATCAGGCTACCCAGATGGATAATGCATTGCAATTTGAAGATGTTAGTGTTGTGAATGAGAGTTTGGAGAGTACAGAAATGGGTTTGTCTGTGCACCTGTGGTGGTAGACTGAAAGAGGGTAAGATGGAGTCAGGAACCCTGAGCTCTGCTTCTGGCCCTCTGTTGATGAGTGTTAGTGCCTTAGATGGGTCCTGTGCTGTATGGGTCCAGACTCTGTCTGTGACTTCTCTGTCCAGCCCACAGGGTTGCCATGGGGACCAGATGAAATACACAGATGAGAATGCGTTTGGGAGACCAGAAGGGGCTATGAGAGTGAAGGGCATTATCAGTATTTAAGCAGATTTCAGATAATGGAATCATAGGCCAGCAGGGGCCACTCACAGATATTTAGCCTAGATTCACACCCAGAAGAACACATTTCTCAATCTAAAAAGGAGATGATTTTAGGTGGGACACATACAGCATCTTTCATTTTAGTAGTTATGTATTTGTCTATGGAGTCCTGGTGTGGCACTGTGGGTTAATGCACCAGATTGCAAAGCTGTGTGAACTGCAAGGTCAGCAGTTCAAGCTCACCAGCTGCTCCTTAGAAATCCTATACAGGGTCGCTATGGGTTGAAATTGACTCAATGGCACTTAACAATAACAATAGCAATATTTGTCTATTGGAAGCACTGTGGCTCTGTAGGATAAGCACTGGACTGCTAATCACAAGGTCTGTGTTTTGAATTCACCAGTCACTTTGCAGGAGAAAGATAAGGCTTTCTGTTCCCATAAAAATGTACAGCTTTGAAAACCCTATACAGGGTCGCTACGAGTCAAAACCAGCACAATGGCTTTTAACAACAACATATTTGTTTATATATATCATAAAAGCATAGCCATCACATCAAGTCTATTTTTATGGGTATTTTTGTTTTTAGATGAAAAGTATGGTGATTTTAAGGTAAAAGTTAAGACATATGACCAAAATGGGAAAGTGGCCGGTGGAAGAAGGGCTGGGAAACTTTTATCCTCCTGGGACAGCCTGTTAGGGCCAGGTGTTTGGCTTCTGCTGCTCTTTCTAGAGAAGGGACTTCACTGCCCTTCAGTCTAGTCCACTCTGTTTGGGGATTCTTCCCTCCTGGTAGACTTTTTTTCCTTCCTTCCCTTAACCTGTTCCACTAGTTCTGTCCCACAGAAAATCAAGCTTTTTTCTCTAGGATGAGCAGCTCTACTTTCTTCACGTGCTCCTCAAATGTTAAGTGCTGCCGAGTCAGTTCTGACTCATAGTGACCCTGTATAGAATTTCCAAGGAGAGCCAAGTGGGTT